CTCTCCTCCTCTGTGTATGTCTGACTTTCCAATAAAAATAAATCTTAAAAAAAAAGGAAAAGAGTTGAGCCTGATGTAGGATTTCTTGTTGCTGTGATTATCTTCCATGGACCACTTGGACTGTTAGGTTGAAGCTGTGTATCACATGGTTCCTTAGTCTTCTTTTGGGATACCTTGTAGGGCTGTGCTTCTCCATGACCTTCCTGCTCCCCAGCGTTGGTCTCTGCTTCTCATTGTTTGGTACTTGCTCGTCTCTGGGACTCAGGGATGGTATTCATTCTCCAAGGTCTTGGCTCAACCTCAGTAACACATAGACTCAGCATCCCAGTTTTGGTGGGTCTTAGGGCATATTTTATGGATCTTCCTCATTCCAAGGGATAGAAAGCCATGCTTGGGTGATGTCAGGATGATTCCAGCCCCTTGCCTCGGCTCGGGGTTTGGTCTGGCCCATCCTGTCGCCTACCCTTGAGGATGATTTGCTTGTGCCCTCATGGAATGGTTGGAATGGTGTGTACTGCCCTGCGTCCTCAGTTCAAGCTTTTGCTTCATCAGAGCGGGAAGCCTGGCCCAGGTAGGGCTGCCAAGTGTGTCCATACTCTGACTTGCCCCAGTGCCTCATGAATATGTAGTGAGGTCTGTACAAAAGAGGTTGTGAGAGCATTCAGTCTCCTTGTACCTGAGCGAAGAGTGTGGTTCAAGTCTCTCACTTAAATCCATGCACAACAGTTAGCAACCCAGTAAGCATTTTTGCTGGGGTGTTCTTATCACCTGCCATGCCTGTTAAAGGAATCTGTACTTCTGTGTGCTTCTTGCTGGTTGGGTCTAAGAAAAATCATGCTTTTGTGTATTTTCTAGCTTTTTCTCATTGCTCGGTTATGCATGCATGATTCTCCAACTTCTATATTTTGAATGCAACCAGATAATTTGAGGTCATTCCAAGCATTACATAGGAAAGTGTGATGATGCTGGGTATGTAGAAGATGAATTAAATTGAAGGATTCAGTAGCAGCTTTGCAGATAAAGTAACTTCCAAGCTTGGTGCCGAGGGAAGCACAGTGAAAAGGGAAGGGAAAGGCTTGGGACGTGGTACTTGCAGCGCCAAGATCCTGTAATAGAATGTCAGTTGCTTGCTAATGCATCTGAGCAAGCAGTGGCAGAGGCCCCAACTTCCGAGGAATACAGCATGTCTTTCCCGGAGACCCAAACACCTGAAAGGTAGAAATAGATTGCTATGGACTCACCACGAAAGCTTAACCCAACGCTTACCCGCACAGTCCTTTGGAGTGTCCTCAGAAGAAAATCCTCAGGATTCAGTCTCTCATCTGTGCACAAGTGTTAGTGGAAAACTTTGGCAACTGGACACTCACCCCACTACCAAGTTGCCTTCCCCTGTACCAGGTGATCCACCTCAACAGCCCAACAGAAGTGAGGGAAGATGATATTCCAGGTGCCCAAAAGGAGGAGAGAGAAAGGCTGGTAAGACAGGACACACCTCTCAATGAACAGATGCTCTCGGCTGAACAACAAACACAGAGACGTGAGCCTCAGGGGAGAACAGGGTAAACCATGAAGAGAGGCGTTCAGACGTCAGAGCAGTGACTGCCTGCATCATGGATGGGATCCTGCAGAGGGTGCTGGCGTGGGAGACTGTAGTGGATGCTGTAGTGGGTGACTACACTGAGTCAGTAGGCATAGGCTTTATGCCTAACCCTGCATTGCTAGTGATCTTGTGTAGTAGAGAAAGCTATGCTGTGCTAAGATGGACTTGCATGCCAATAATGTCGATAAAGGTAGCAATAGTACTGGTGTCTGTTCCTACCTTGAGAGCAGTGATTTATAGAGAATCTGTGCTTTGAAAGTATTTGAAGGACTTCTCGGTATACTTCAGTTGATTTTCTTTCAGAGAAGAAGCACCAGTATGTATAAGTATTCCCATGTGTTTTAGAAGCCGGATGTCAATGGGATGGAACCCAGTACCTGGACCTGACACTCCAAGTAACTTGGGGGAAGGGAATGTGAAGAGAACATTGGCTGGTCTGGCTGGAGCGTAACAACTAGAACAAATAATTAAAAATTTCTAGTCTCCAAACATTTGAATTGAATAAAAGGAAATTTTGATGTCCTGTCTCAGTTTCCAGTAGCATGTTATGTTTAGAGCAACTTTAAAATACAAACAGAAAAAGGAGAAGGCCTAAGAACTTGAGACCCTACTGCGTGTGTGGGAGACTTGCACAGAGTTCCAGGCCCAGGCTCCGGCTATTGTGACTATCTGAGGAATGGGCAAGCAAATAAATGATGTCCTTGTCTCTCCCTCTCGCACGTTCTCCCCCTCTGTCATTCTGCCTTTCAAATAAAATTAATTAATTCTCAGAAAAGAAAGGGAATGGCAAATTATCACAAAGGTGGAGCTCCGTGCTGCACTTGTCAAGACTCTGAATCCAAAAAGGAAAAAAGCCAGACTGGCAGGACAGAGGCAGAGGGCGCCAGGGGCACGAGCCTGGAGATGGAGCTGGGCCAGCTGAGAGCCACGATGACTGCTGTAGTGAGGTCAGTGTGAAGCCTTGAAGGGCCCTTACCCACGTGGATGCTGAGCATCCCCAATCCAATTGCTGCTGAATCCAAACGCTTGGTGTGCTGACCTGACGCCGTGACAGTGCCGCCCCGGCCTCACGTGAGAGGTCACGATACCCAAACCGTGGTACACAGCTACCTTCGGGCTGGGTGAGTGAACCCAAGTTTCAACTCGGGTCATCTCATCACCAAGCTATCTTAGTGTGTGTGGAGATATTGTAAAGTATGACAGTCCAGAACACTGCTGGTCCCAAGCATTTTGGACAAGATATTCAATCTGTGAGTGTAAACTATTGTTTACTTATTTGAAAGAGTTATATAAAGAGAAGCAAAAGAGAAGGCAAGCCAGACCAAAAGCAGGAGCTTCCTGTGGGTCTGCCTGCTGGGTGCAGGGGTCCAGGGCCTCGGGCCGTCTTCTGCTGCTTGCACAAGCGCGTTAGTGTGGAGCGAAGTGCAGCAGGCAGGAAGGGACACTGGTGCTACAGGTGGCACCGTAACCCAACCCGCCACAGGGCCGACTCCTAGACTTCCTTTTCCATCTGCACGAGAGGCCTGGTTTCAGGGGCTCGTGCCCAGGCTTTCTCACTGGCACGTACGGGATGCACCACTGGGCTGCCAAGGAGAGCAGCGCTCTGCACTAGGACAGCCCGGGCCCTTTCCTCCGTGCACACTCAGGCCGACACAGCTAGCTCAGCAGCTTTCGGGGGGCGCTGCATCATCTATCCCTGCGGTTTAGCAGAGTTGCCTTGCTTACTCGTCAGCCAATTTACACGTGCTCCCTTCCTCCTGCCTTGCAGATTCTAAACCAGCCACTGGGCAGTTTCTTAATACACTTTGATGAAACCAGTTTTGGGTTGCGATGACTGTTCCCAGTGTCCCAGCGGAGTTGTGTTAGCTCAGGTTGATAAGGAAGCATGTGACACTTAGTTCTTCTGCCTCTTGAAGTGCCAAAGAGATCTGCATCACACCCAGTACTCCAGACCAGTGCCAGGCCTGCCACTCACCTCTGTCTCCGTGGCTTCCTCGCACCTGCCTTGTTTTGTTCATTGAGTCACAAATCAGTGTAATAAATATTAGGTTTGCCCTGACTGGCTGCTTTGTGTCTGGCTCTAAATGTGCCACATGTGTTATCTCATGTTGGGGAAGGGGCCGTTATTATTTGGTGGAATATGAGATGGATTCGGAGGTCAGGTGCTTGATAGTGACCGAGAGATAGCAGGGGAATCCACTGGGACTCGAAGCCATGGCCAGGACTGGCACTTCACCATTCTGATGCCTCCGGCACCTGCTTCAGGACCAGCTCCGGTGCCTGAGGATCTGGAGCTGACCTTGCCCCTACCCAAGAAGAGCTCCCAGCCCAGGAGGTGAACATAACTGCCATGAGGGAGGAACACGGCAAGGGCCTGGTGGGATGGACTTGCCCAGGATGAGGAGCCTTAGTGGGCATTCCACGGGGCAGAGGAACGTGGTCTGGATCCTGACATGCACGTAGGAGTTCATGAGTGTGGAAAACAGGGTAAAGAATCTGAGCAAGTCACGGGAAGTTAAGCAGAAAGTTTGTGCTAGTCTTTAAAATTGCCACAATTGTATAATAAGGACAACGAGAGTTGGAGGGCTCCTCCGCGGGGTCAGACAGGAGTGTGGGGAAGGGGGTGGGTTTGTGGAGCAGGTGGAGAGCAGGAGGCGGGGAGCCCCAGGCCATGAGGCGGGGTGTGCGTTGGCTGCTCTACTTCTAGCACCCGGGCTGCTTAGAGCTTTCCACGCCAGGAAGGAATTGCATTTGACGTGGAGACCTAATGTGAGGTAGCCGGTACAGACAGGGAACGGATGAGGGGGGCAGGGCTAGCGGCTGGGAAAGGGGCAGGTGCTCCAAGGGAAGGGTGTGTGTGTGTGTGTGTGTGTGTGTGTGTGTGTGTCTGTACACAAAGGGAATGACCATGATTTGGAACTAGAGAGGTGGTGCCAGCACAAACTGTGAATGTGTTCATGGCCACCAAATCGTGCACCTGCCAGAAGCTGCTTTTACATCCCATGGACTTCCTCCTCCCTAGAGAGAGGACCACAGGTGTGGACTGTTCGCCTGCAGGACCACAACACTGGCTCCATCGCCCCAGACGTGGGTTTCTGGGAGAGATTTTATAAAATTTGACTTGTCAGGACAGCTGGAATCTATCTCTGGGAGCCCACCCCGCTCCCCCATCCTGCCATGCTGTGTTGGATACTGGGTGCACTTTGCTTCCAGGCTGGCATCCCAAGGAGGGCAGAGAGGCTGCTGGACGCAAAGCTTACCAGGGTCTGACACGCAGTGGAAGACACACACACAGGACTCCTCCAGGCCTGGTGGGAGGCGCACAGGCTGGGTGCAGTCCCTGAGGGTCGGTGATTGTGAACTCTGCCGGCCGTGATGTTCTTGACCTTGTCTTCGACAGCCCCGGAAGTGTTCCAGGTGTACTTGGACGGAGGCCCTGGGTATTCTTATCCCGTTGACTGGTGGTCGCTGGGCGTTACGGCCTACGAGCTGCTGCGGGGCTGGGTAAGGCACATAGGGACATGGGGCAGCAGTAGGGATGCTCAAGCGGTGCCAGGCCTGTGGCTGGGACAGGAGCTGCAGTCCCGGAGCCCTGGGGCCATCCCCAAGGGCCCCTGAAGCTAGGAGTGTCTAGTGTTGAGCTGGTTCCCCAAGGCCACAGAACCATTCCTGTTACTGCCAGTAGGTGGCACCTTTCCTGAGCCTTCCCTTGGGGGTCCTGAGAGCTCTTGGGGAAGCGGGTTGTGCTGGAAAGGTTGCTGGGCTGGGACAAGCGAGACAGCTGACAGCAGCAAGTGGAATGGTCAGAAGTCTCCGGGGGAGAATGGCTCCTACTGTTTCCAAAGCAAGCAGCTCCCCTGCGAATTCTGTGGGATTCTCCACTCAGGAACTCAGGTGCTGCTCTTAGCAAAGCGGGAACAGCAGAGGTTGAGCGTGGGGCTCTCAGGGTGGGGACGCAGGAGCACCTTTGCCAACTGGCACGGCTCTCTGCAAACATCTTCATCTGACTCCATGTCTCACCCCCAGGGCAGCAGGCTTATCCTTGGTCTGGTCAAAAGCTGCACTGGAAACTAGTCCCACAATTCAGGGAACCTTGGAGCCTGCACCTGCACCACAGACCAGGGTGGGGTCTAGCTACTCAGTGAGCTCAGCCTAGAGATAAAAGGAGGAGGGTCACCCCCCCACCTACCCCTCACAGACAGGCGACTTTGCCCGCCCCATCTGGAGACTGCATGGCAGATCATCGCCCACTCACCTGCCTGCTGATCCCACTTGGGATCCAGGAAGCACCTGACCCTGGAGAGAAGCCGTTGGTTCACGCTGGGTCAGCTCTAAGGGGTGGCGGCCAGCTGCTTTCTGTAGCCGGGCTCAGCACCCGCCAGTGCCCCATCTGTGATGGAGACCAGGCTACTCAGCACGTTCAGGACTCAGAATCCTCTGCATTTACCAAACCGCGTGTCACGTTCGTGTCTACTCCAAAGGCTGAGGAGGACCTGGGTGATGTTAATGACCTTGCACAGTGACAGAGCCATGGTCAGCACCCAGGAAAGGCCATCCCCTGCCCCTAACCCAGAGCAGTGGCTACTGGCAGGGCAGTGCCTGCTCATGCCCATTGCTGACTGAGGAAGACTAGAGCCCATCCCCCTGCTCACGCTACTCCTGGGTGCTGGGATCCAGGCTCAGTCCCCTAACTCCCCAGGGCCCCACTCTGCCCCTTGGTGCTGGAATCCAGGCTCAGTCCCCTAACTCCCCAGGACCCCACTCTGCCCCTTGGTGTTGGGATCCAGGCTCAGTCCCCTAACTCCCCAGGGCCCCACTCTGCCCCTTGGTGCTGGAATCCAGGCTCAGTCCCCTAACTCCCCAGGGCCCCACTCTGCCCCTTGGTGCTGGAATCCAGGCTCAGTCCCCTAACTCCCCAGGACCCCACTCTGCCCCTTGGTGCTGGAATCCAGGCTCAGTCCCCTAACTCCCCAGGACCCCACTCTGCCCCTTGGTGCTGGAATCCAGGCTCAGTCCCCTAACTCCCCAGGACCCCACTCTGCCCCTTGGTGCTGGAATCCAGGCTCAGTCCCCTAACTCCCCAGGACCCCACTCTGCCCCTGGGTGTTGGGATTCAGGTGAAGTCCCCTTGGAGGTGGCTGGTGGCATTTGACTTCATCCTGAACATGGTATGATGTCTAATTAGGGAGGCAGTGGGTTTGTCTGACCACTGGACTCGCGTCTGTGTCGGCTCACACCCTTCCCACTGCCGCAGACCCCGGAAGTCCTGTGGTGGGCCTGGTCCTTTTCCATCACACGCAGGAGTACAGGCCCACAGCATAGTTCTCATCCCCAGTTTGGGCACACGTGGGGCCAGCTGAGTTTCTGTGTGTCATAGGATGGTCAGCGTTATCCCTGGCCTCTACCCGCTGGTGCCACAAGGAAGCTCCTTGCCCCCAAACATGGCTAGGTGTTGCCTTGGTGCCAGGCTGGGTCACTGTCGTGGAGTAAGGCAGGGGACATAGAAGAGCCTGATTGAGACAATGCTGGGCAGTAGGCGCTCCAGAGGGACAAGGCCTGGACCCTGATAGCCTACACTAACATGCTGCATGGTCTTTTGCCACCTCCCTCACCTGCATGACCCTGGCCGAGCACCCACTCCCCACTAGGAACTCAGTAGACCTGGAAGCTGGAGGGTGCCTGGGGCTCCCCCTAGAGGTCGGAGTGCATAACTTAAGAAGGGTGTAACCGGTCAGGTGAGTGCTGGCTCTCCAAATGGGCATGGACCAAGGGGAGACGGGGGTTCTAGGGAGCTGTTCCTCCAAGGAGAGAAGCTCTGCCGCCAGCCAGACTCAGGGTCAAGGTCAAGAGCTGTCAGAAGCACTTGAGGGTTCTGACAGTGAGAGCATTCACAGAGGCTGAAGAGGGGAGCGAGAAGTGCTGGTAGAGGAAGCCCAGCCCCTCACCAGCCTGACCCAGCATTGGTCGCACCAGTCAGGGAGCAGGGAAAGGGGTGCCTGAGGCCTCCAACAGGTGCACCTGTGGCCACAAGTGTCCCTGGGTGCCCGGCAGACAGCGAAATGCAGTGTCCCAGCCTGTGACCAGAGGAGGGACTGTGTGACCTCGGAGTCCCCACACAGCAGCAGCACCCACCCACTGCTCGCTGGTACAGTTCCCATCCCTCCCCTGGGTCCTGGATACCTGCTGCCCTGTGAAATCAGAGGGAAGCAAAGTCCGTGGCGGCCGTAGCGACCTTAAGCAGCATCAGCAGTGCCTACCCTGGCCTCTCCCCTGACCCTGTCTCTACTTGCCTTGCAGAGGCCATTCGACATCCACTCGGCCACACCCATCGATGAGGTCTTGCACATGTTCAAGGTGGAGCGGGTGCACTACTCGTCCACGTGGTGCAAGGGCATGGTGGCCCTGCTCAAGAAGGTGGGGGCAGCCCTGGCCTGGGCCTCTGGGTGCAGACGGGACACCTGTAGGTGGGGGTATGGCAGAGAGTGATGGAGTCAGCCAGGCTCCACTCACTGTGGGCTCCTCAGGGGCTGCGGGGGCTGCAGGTGAGGGATGCAGATCCCAGAGCCGGGGGAAGGGGTGTGTCCCAGCGAACCCTTGTCCCTTCCACCTGCGAACACGGAAAGCCCTGAAGCCCCCTCCCCCTCACATCCCAGAAGTGGCCTCGCAGGTGTGTGGGGTTCGGTTTTTCACAATTAATTCTCCCCAGACCAGATCGGAAGGCAGAGAATGAGGCAGCTCATTCCTTCTGGTATTCATTGGAAGGCCCTGCAGCCATGGATGCTGGCAAAGCGCCCCGAAGCAGGCTGCAGATGCGGGAGGGAACAGGCAGCCAAGGCGTGGTCCACCCCGCGGGACCTCGCTGCGAGGCCTAGCAGGAGCAGCCTGGCTTCTTGGCTCCCTGACTCCTTACCGCCCAGCTACACGGGGAGGAGTGCAGACAGCAGCTCCCCAGACCAGGCAGTGCACGGAGGGACTTGTCCTGAGGGAGGTCCCACTGACACAGCCCCGCTGACCTCCGTGGACTGCGCAGTGATGGCCACCTGTTTGCCCCCTCTGAGTGCAGCTGTTGACTAAGGACCCCGAGAGCCGCCTGTCCAGCCTCAGGGACCTCCAGAACTCGCCATACCTGGCCGATGTGAACTGGGACGCAGTGTTGGAGAAGGCTCTGATGCCCGGCTTTGTGCCCAATGTAAGTGAGGCCCCATTCATGCATGGCACACAACCCCACCCCTGCAGATGGCCAGCAACCCCTTTACCGTGCCTGGCCACGTGACCCTCCCCGGTTCCCTCCCTGCTGCTTCTCCAGGGTCCCGGTTGGACAGAGTCTTGCTGGTGTTGGTCCTAGGGTTATTGAGCCTCTTCTTAAACAGCTGCAGTGGCCAGGCCCTGGGGGCCTTCACACAGCTGACTGTGGGCTGAGCTCCCCAGCCAGAGCACACAAGGAAATATGCTGGGTGTCTCCACACAGAGCCAAAGGGGTGGTGGGAGAGGAGGCAGGGCCTGGGGTGGCAGGCCAAGCTAGGGGACACTCGTAGGGGTAGGGGAGAACCTGGGCTTCGAGGGCAGAGGCTCTATAGCTGCTCAATAAATCCAAGGGGAGGTCCCAGGGAAGGAGGTCAGAAAAGAGTACAGAGAGCCTGCTGGTAGCCACAGTCATGGTGAGAGGTGTGCCTTCAGCCCACTGAGGGGATGGAAGCAAGGACATGAACGTAGCTGTAGCTTGACAAGGGCTCAGACTGGAGCTGGGAGTGAACCACAGGACAGGGAGGGAGACCATGGACAGCACCCAAGCCTCCAGGAGCATCTGGGCGACTTCCAGCTCAACCACCTCTATGCACTGAGACCTGGAAAGCTGTGTGCCATCTGCCAACCCCGGTTCTTACCTGGCTCACATGCGAACAGGTGGATTCGAACAAAACTGCTGGCCATGGTACTGTGAGCAGGAGGTGGTGGAAGCCGCTTCCAATGGTACCATGTCTGAATGTGGCCAGAGACTCCAGCCCACGAAGCAAAGGAGAATTGATGGGTATGAGAGGTCCTGGGGGCCCCAGGATGTGCCCCCCAACACACACCTAAGCACTGATGCCAGTTCACCTAACAGGTGTCACCCCCAGGGCTGTGACAAGTGCTAATGTCAGGCAGGGGAGGCAGCCTGGCTAAGGCAGCTTCCACTGCAGGTGACAACAGCCTGGCTCCTAAGTTGGGTTCAAGGCCAAGAATCCCCTAGGAGGTAGAGGAGCTGTCACTCAAGGTCAGGCCACACCCCTTTTATTCTGCACCTGCTTTGTGGTGTACAAGGAAGTAAGCTGAGGAGGACAGGGCTTCTCAGGGTCACTCAGGGGCAGAGGTGAGGACACAGAACTGAGTGGACAGTTGGGCCCAAGCCCTTTCCTGGACCAGATCAGAGCAAGCTCCGCAGCAGCCTTTCACCAACCTGCCTCGTGCCAGCCCTGCCTGGGAGCTCCATGGATGCTGTGTGCTCAATCCTTTGGGTGGGGGGCCCTTGCTCACTGCATGCAATGGAAGCTGAGCTGACTACTGAGGGGGTCCTGAACCCCTTCAAGGCCATGAGCAGCAGGAAGGGGGACTCTCTTGTGTGGTGGTGGAGCCATCGACATTATAACCACTATTCTGCACTGCCAGTGCAAGCCGCCAGGTTAGGTCTCAGGACTGAGAACAGCCCCCAGGGACCTGGCATCCTAGGCCCCCTAGTTCCTCCTGACCAGGGCAGGTGGGGCCCCATGGCCGCAGCTGGCTGGACCTGCAGGTCAGCTGGTTCTAGCAATGGGGGAGGAACAGTGAACAGGGCAGGGTACTAGGCACATGTTGACCAGAAATGGCCTTTTAGAGTTCAAGGATGGGTATGGCACTGTGGCAAAGCTGGTGAGGCTGCTATTTGCAGCACTGGCATCCCTTATGGATTAGAGATGGCTGCCCCATCTCTAGTCCAGCTTTCTGCCAATGGCCTGAGAAAGCAGTAGAGGCTGACCCAAGTGCTTGAACCCTTGCTGCCTGCCTGAGGAGCCCAGAGGAAGCTTCTGGCTCCTGAGTTGGAATCCACCTGGATCTGGCCATTGCAGCCATTTGGGAAGTGGATTGAAGATTCCCCCCACCCCCGTGTAAATTCCACTGTTCAGAAAATAAATACATCTCTAAAATTAAACAGGGAAAACTGAACACAGCCTCTTGGAAGGGGTGTTTGGGAGGGAGCTGCCTGAGGGAGTGGGGGGAAAAGGAAAGGGCGGGCCGTGGGAATGGCGTATGGAGGGAGGGAAGGGAAGCGATGCAGGGAAGCAGCCCAGCCTGCCCCATCTCCACCTGCCCTCAGAAAGGGAGACTGAACTGTGACCCCACGTTCGAGCTGGAAGAGATGATCCTGGAGTCCAGGCCACTTCACAAGAAGAAGAAAAGGCTGGCCAAGCAGAGATCCAAGGACAGTGCCAAGGACAACTGTCCCCTGGTGAGCACTGGCAGTCGCCATCCCCACAGACAGGGCATGGGGCCTGGGCAGGGGACTCTCCACAGCCAGAAAGTCACCAGGCTGAGGAGTGCCCACAGGAGCCACTGCGGTCCAGCCACACCCCAAGACCCACCCCAGGCCCAAAGGGTCACTCTCCTGGGGGTGGGACCTTGTGTCTGCATCCATTTTCCAGCTTGCACAGCAGGTGACTTGGCACAACTTAAGGTGATTTCCTGGCTGTCCTGAGGGGCCAGTCCAAACCCGGCTTCCTCAAAGTCATGAGGTCTGTAAAGTGGTCCTGGGGGAAGTAGGAAGTGGGGCTCTTCCTGGCTCCCCTGACTTGGGATGGTCCCCGAGTCTTAACATCTCTCTCTCCATCTTCATATGGCCCCTCTGTACCTCGTGTGATGCACAGGAATGCTGGTCATTGGACGCGAGGTCCACCCTGGTCCACTAGTGCCTCAGCGTGGCTTGTGAAGCTCCTGTTTGCAAACAGGCTTGCATGCACAGCTGCCACGGCACCTGGCGGGACCATAATTCAGGAGGATGGAGATCAGCCGTAACAGCCCTTCCCCTATAAAGAATGTATGAAAAAAAAAAGCAGCATTCTTTATGGCCACTTGGGCAGGAAGACATACACAACCTTTGATGCTAACATTTATTGTTTTTGTCTTCTCTCATGAAATTCAAACATTGTCAGAGCCCCTAAAGCCCCTTGGGCCTCACACTCCGAGCCAGCTGTGGCTACTGCAGCAGCGGGCTGGCCGCTCCTGACCATGGCCTTCGGGGAGCTCGGGGGCGGGAGGGAGAGTGCCCCAGCACAGGCCTGAGCGGGGGCTCCCAGGGGTGTCATGGCATCTTGGTGCTAGTGGCTCTTGTACCTGTTTCTAGAATAAGAATAGGCCTAGTGATCCTGTGAGTGCCCAGGCACCCAAGAGATGGAGCTCACAGCTCTCCCTGTCCCACCCCAGCCTGGCTGCAAGTTGGATTTCTCAGCACAAAATGGAGACATACCTCTGCCTGCCCAGCTCTGCCTGCACGCAGCCTCCTCTGCCATGCGTCTCACGGGCCACGGCTCCCACTGAGATCTGCCTGCCCCTCCCCTGTGAGGCCCCCTTGCCCGTGTTGTCCAGACTATGCCACATCACTTTGTCACCTCCCTCTGTTGCCCTGTTACAGAATGGACACCTGCAGCAGTGTCTGGAGACCGTGCGCAAGGAATTCATCATATTCAACAGAGAGACGTAAGTTGGTCCCTCTGTACCCAGTGCCAGCAATGCCAGCCTGGGGGAATCTCAGCCCTGTGCAGTGAGACCCAGCTATGGGGTGCTGACCCTGCCTGTGCCATATGCTCAGTGCTGGGCACCAGCCCACGCTCCAGGGGCTCAAGGCATTCAATGGGAGCGAGGATGGCCCTGGATCTTGGCCAGGAGGCTGCACTGCAGCCACCGTGACCCGGGGCAGGGCACTCAGTCTCGCCAAGCCTGCCAGGCAACATGGCAACATGGAGGCTACACCCTCACCATGGTGCAGGGAGATGGTGGTGAGAGCTGCTGAAGTCCCCGTTTGTCAAATTGTGAACATGGGCTCTGTGCCCTCCACAGCCTGGGAGGGAGCAGGCTCTGGGAAGGGCCCCTTGGGTCTGACCTGGCTATGGGGCTGTCCTTACAGGAGCAAAAGAAGCAGAAAGCTCTGGGTGGTCCCTGACTAGGTTGCTATCTGGGGGGTTCATGTGCTGTGCTTGCTTGGTCAGAGTTGGGGGGTGGGTCAGGCAAAGGGGCAGCCCCACTCCACCAATGCCGAGTCAGACTTTGGACAAGCAGAGCTGAAGCAGGGATGCCCCCTGCCCCCAGGAGGGTCAGATGCGGGGGGCAGTACCAGCCTGGCCCTCACGGGAGCACTGGGCTGAGGCACGTGGCTGGGAGCTGCAGGAGAGGCAACCCTGGCTGTGCATTTGAGGACGGCCTCCTGGCTCAGCCGGGGATTCCAGGGGCGGGAGAGGGGGATGGGGCACGGCATTCCCAGAGTAGGAGCTCCACATGTGTGGCAGACGTGGCGCGACGTTTGCATGCCCAGAACGTGGAGGGAAGTGGAGAGTGACAGAGGCAGAGCAGTGCTACAAACTGTCCATGGAGGCCAGTCATTCCCCCACGGAGGCTGCAGCTCTGTCGGACCAGGCACCTGTCAGGAGGCAGCCACCTCTCTGCAAGGGCACCACCGTCCTCGGCAAGGCTTTGAGTGGCACAGGGAAGGGGCCAAGAGAGGCACCTGCGAGCCACAGAATGCCAAAGAGGGCAGAAGCTGACTGCTGTGGAATCCTCAGGCCCCTGACGACATCTTGGCCTTGAACGCTGGCCTTCGGAACTGGGAGCATCCATGTGCTGCACTAAGTCATCAGGCTGCTGGAGTGTTGTTAGTACTGCCCTCAGCCATGGCAGTAGCTTCTGAATCAGAGTCAGAGCAAATAGGCCTGGGGGCCTGGCCACTCCGATGCCTGTCAGTGTGCCACGCTGGTACCCTCAGCTCTGGGTTGAGTCCCTGGAACTGCCCATCCGTAGCTGCAAACCATCCCGGGTCTGTCTCCCTCGCCCTGGGTTCACCATCTGCATCTTGCTAGCTGTGTGACCCGTAGATGCCCCCAAATACCTCAGCTCTCCTGCCCGGTTCTCTGCCCTTGCCTGGGCCAGACACACATTGCCGGCTGCAGAGAGAAGGCTCCTGACACTCCCACCGCAAAGAAGCTACCACCAGCGTGAGGCATTGAGATCAGAAGGGGCTGCCCCAGGCCCTGGACGGAGCCATCCCAGGCCTGGACAGAGGCAGGTCTGGCTGAGACCCCAGTCCTCTCATGGTCCCCAGCAACGCAGCATCTTCTGGGATTTAGACTCCTGTGGGCCCCCGTGGGACACAAGGGGGCCTCCTCATCTGACCTCCCTTTCTAAGCAGAGAACACAACTTGAACCAGCACTGCCCAGCTTGCTGGCAACAGCTCTGCATTGCTGACGATCTCAGCTGGGGCCATGTGGACCGTCTGCTTGTGGGGGCTGCTCGAGCTCGAACCATGGGGCTGAGCCTCCTATTTTTGGCAGAAGATCCAGTCAGGGATGGATTTTTCCTGTCAGTGGCAAATGACAAAAGTGCACAGAATGAAAAGACCCTGGTGAGAAGAGAGTGTGAGATCTCAATTTCACATCCTTGCCATCTCGTTAAGAAGCAAAATCACATCAAAGCTTCATTCAGATCCCTTGAAAACACCAGCTCCTAAAAGTGTCATATTGCATTGGATACCTCCACTCATCCGGATACTATTCATACCCATAAAACCAACTTCTCTCTGTGATTTTACACAGTCGCACTGCCAGGGTGCTCCAGGGAAGTCACTTGGTCAGGTGAACTCAACAAGCTTCAAACGCTTTGTGTGTGTCCACTTCGCCCCCGCCTTCTTCGCCTGCCGAGCATGGGCAGGGTTTGCTGCTGCAGTGGGGCCATCTGAGCAGAGGAAGCTGGTCTGTGGTCGTGTTGTTTGACCGTCTGACACCTGGGATATGTAGATTCGCCAACAGAACATGTCTCTGGAAGGAGCAGGATGCCTTGGCCAACGCTTCAGCCGGCTGCAGATCCGCGGGTGAGCCGTGTGCCCTGACAGCTCTGTGCCCGGACTTTCTCATCCACAAGATGAAGCAGCAAAAATGTCTGCTCACTGGCTGAATGTCAAGGCTGCGTGGCAGGCGGGGGGGCCCAGTGGAAGGGAGCACTGACGGCCAGCTATGTCTTGCAAGCCACTGCATGCGTCACATGTAAGCCTGGGCCACCCTGCAGAGTCTCGGACATCTGCTCACCTGCTGTGATGCTGATTTCCAAGCCTGAGTCATCGCCCACCTTTTGCAGACCCAAGTTCACAGCAGACAATCTTGCCCAAGGTCACTCGTTGGTGGGGTCTGACATCAAACCCAGAGCTCCAAATTGCAGTAGCCACCTGTGCTGCCTTCAGCACCAGGACCTGCCCTTAACATCAGGCTGACTGACTGATCCAGCTGGCCACAAATGGCGAGTCAGTGGGAAGAATGGTGAGAACGAGATAAACCTTGTTGCTTTGGACTGCCAAGCGTTTGGGGAAAAGAACATCAGAACTGAGATCCGAAAAGGTCACAGGGAGGAATCTACACATTAAACCCCGATGTATAACATCTCTGGGAAACGATCCCACCTGAGTCCACCTACCCGTGAAAAGGACGAACTCAGAAACGCGAAGGAAGCAGAAGATGAGGCCTTGGTTGATAGCCCGGCCTTGAGAGCAGCACCCAGCTGGTGGAAGCAGCCCTGCCCCCAGAAACCCAATTATCCTCATCCCTGCCAAGTAGAGGCCCCTTCTCCCACTTTGTTTGTCGGGGAGCTTGGGAGATGAATCCAAGCCTGAGGCTCACCTGTGGCAGGTGCTGGGAGCACACTGGGACATGTGTAGGACAGAGGATGGGGTGAGAAGTTTCACTCTACCAACAAGAACAACACAATTCCAGGACCACATCTGGCCACATCAAGAGGGACCTAGCAAGCTACAGCTGGAAGCCAGCTGGGACACGAGAGCTCAGCTGAACCCCTGGACCTGGGGAAATCAGCTGAGAGGGCACGGGGACAAGAGCTCATGGCTGGGAAGCCAGCAGCAGCAGAGGTGGCGGGCAGGTGTAGGTGTTACAGGAGATGTCATGGCCCTGAGCCTTTTGCTGGAGTTGATCCTTTGCCACGCTGGGGAGGAGCCAGGAGCCATCCCCCTCCTAGCTCTGCCTGACTCATTCCGAAGCCCTGCTTGGTTTCGCTCGGGCTTCAGGCAGCTGCAGGTAAAGGAGACGGGCTGTGGATGCTTCAAAGCAGATGGTCTTGTGATCTTCCACAAAGACTGAGTTTAGAAAGAACAGCAGGTGTTAGGGACTTGGGGGGTTATTGAGGTTAGAGGCACAAGACAAATCTATGCGGAGATGGGAAGGGGCTGGATGAGACCGAGTTGGTTTGGAGAGCGGTGCTGAAGGGAGAGTTTATCATCACCATTTGCCTGGCTGGGGATGCAGGGCAGTGTGGGCACCTGAAACCTCCTGGAAACCAGAGTGTTGCTCCTTCAGAGGCTGGTGACAGGGAGTGAAGAGCAGCCATGCTGTGTCCACAGAGGCGGCTGCCTGGCCAGAAGCAGTGGCCTTCCAGCGTTCCCCAGCAGCTCAAGCCCACGGGGCTGGGTGCAGGTGTGGGTGGGTCCCTAGCTGATGGATTCCAAGTTCTAGTCTCGCTGTAAGAGATGCATTCAACGTGGACACACAGCACAGACTGAGAGCAGGTTGACTTGGAGATGGGAGAGGGGCTCAGAGTCTCACCTGCCCCTGCTGAATCTCCAACTAGCGGCAGTGTGCAGCCCCTTGGGCAAGGTTACATGGAGTCCCTGCACAGTGTCCTTTCTGGCATCTTCCGTGTGGCAGAGGAGGCCCAGGGACATCATGGGAGTGTGGATGTGCATGGAGAGGCTGGCTGTGCAGGGCTGAGGCATAGACTGCTGGGAACCTCAGCAGCCGTGGCACCCCACTGACCCCTCGCCCAGCACGCAACCACAGGAGAAAGCGAGGAATGAACGACACCCCATTAGGCAGCACCCCCTCGCGTGTGCTGCCATCTGCCAAGGCTCCCTCTGTACTGAGCTGCAAGTCCAAGGACCAAGGCCCCATCAAGTCAGCCTGCGAGGCTGAGAGCAGGGCGGGGGGGGGGACCCTTTGGGGGTTGAGGTTGCCCCACAGCAGGAGGAGGTGGGAGCTACAGGCAGCTCAGTCCCTTTGCGTGCAAGGCGCATGTGCTGGCCGTGCAGCCCCTGCCCCGCACTACAGCACTAACACATATCCCCCGTGCTTGTTTGCAGGCTCAGGAGGCAGCAAGGGCAGGACGGCCAGCTCCTGGACACAGAAGGCTGCTTGGGGAGCCAGGCCCCAGGCAAGCTCCAGGACAGGTGCAACAACCACATCCTTGCTCATGCTTGTCCCCGCAGCTGCAGCAGCTAAGCCCTGCCTGCAGCTGCCCACAGGGCCGCACTGTCCCTGCCCTGCCCACCCAGAGCCCCTCTCTGTGCCCGCACAGTCCCTTCCTCGCCACTGAAAAGCACCAGATACAGAAAGTCCTGGGTTCGGAGCTGGCAAGCACGGGTTCTGGCACCAGCTGTCCGCTGACCTCCGACAAGCCACACCCCTCGGTTCCTCAGCCGTCTGCATCTGCCTGGAGCGCCAAGCAGCTCTCTGCCCATCCTGGAAGGACAACAATCATGGTGGGAATCTGCCTGGGTGGCAGACTGGCAACACCTCGGGCGTGTATAAAATCGTTTGCACCTGCAGTCACAACCTTAGATGTCAAGAACACGCCCTTACTTCAGCATAATCAGACCATCACAACTTGGCAGTTCAGACATCCTAGCTCATCAGATAGTACTTTGGAAAAATGCAGCCCCTGGAGTAAAATAAAATTTGGATGTATGTGTTTGTGCTACAAAAAAACAAAGGGGGAGGCGGCTTTTGAGTCCCCAGGAAGCCTGGGGGTGTGTGTATTGCATTCTGTGCTGGCCATGGACTTTCTGACCTGCCTGGGGGGCTCGGCTCCCTGGCTCTGCTGCAGACCCGCCTCCCTTCACTCATACAAGACCCGCCCCTTCCATCCCATCAGGTTTCCCCACCCTGGTCCAGCAAAGGGTCAACTGCTGACCAGTGGTGACTCCCACCCTTCCCAACCGAGCCCTCTCCCTGCCCTAACCCAGCCCCCTGGCAAGACCCTTGCCTCCATTGGCTTCCTGGGGGAGGATGTCAGTGTGGCCAGTACCTGCTCTGACATCAGGGTCCTCACCCAACATCAGTGGGTGGCGCCCGAGGAAGCACTTCTTTGGTGAATGGCTACCCTGGGTGCTGCAAAGCACTGTGGGAGCAGGGCTTGTCTTGGGGCTCCTGCCCTCTTGCAGCCCAGAGCCCTTGGGCAAGTCGCATGATCATGCCGAAGACTGCCTCACAGGATGCCCGTGGAATGAAATAAGAGCCTGCCAGCACCACGCCTGAATCTTTGGCCTCATCAGCTTTCTGTGGAATTAGGTTTGTGTCTAAGGCTCTCAGTTCTTTCTTCTGGACTGTTTTGTGGTGGTTGTTGTAATTTATTTCTGGAGACACAGACAGGCAGACAAACCTCCCATACCCAGAGGCCTGCAGTGGCCAGGAGCCAAGTCAAGAGCCAGAGACTCCATCCAGGAACCCCACATGCGTGCAGAGACCTGACCACTCAGTCGCTTGCTGCGTCCCAGGATGTATACCAGCGGGAAGCTGGCACCGGAAGAGGGAGCTGGGCACTCTGATGGGGACACAACGTCTTGGGCAGTGCCCTGCTGTGCAGCCCAGCACCTCCCTTCCCAGTCTCCAGTGTGTGTGTGTGTGCGTCCTGCTCAACATCACCTGTGCTTCTGGTTTTGTCTTTTTTCACCCAATTTCCATTTCCACTTTTTACATCCTTGGGGCTGTTGGTGTCATCCCTTGGGTTTCCTAAGTGACATTTTCATGGACAGTCAAGTTTTCTATTTTTTTTTTTTTTTTAAGAAACAACCATGGTTTCCCTTGCCACAGCCCAGGCTGCTGTGGACTGTGCCACCCACGTCTGTCTGCACGTTTCTCTTCAGGCACTGTCCTGTGCGCCCCAGGACATGTCAGGGTGAGCTTCCCCTTGGCCTGGGGGCTGCATTTGCTGCTGGTCAGCTGGAGCAGGAGCCTCAGCAGAGGCCCTGGGGACACAGGACTTCGCAGCTCTGTTCAAGTCTGCTTTCCCTGTTTGGAATAAATTATTTCTTGGAAACCCCTTCTCCCCAGTTTGTTACTTACTTCGGGCTGGCTGAGAGAGACTGGCTCACGTAGAATAGGCTCATACTCACTGAGCGACACAGACGGGTGAGATAAGGTCACAGGTGCCAGTGTCCACATTCCTTTGCCCTCAGGCCAGACCTGGCTGAGCTCAGCATCTCCCAGCCCTGCCTGCCCTGCCTGCCCTGCCTGCCTGCCCTGCCTGCCCTGCCTGCCCTGCCTGCCTGCCCTGCCTGCCCTGCCTGCCCTGCCCGCCTGCCCTGCCTGCCCTGCCTGCCCTGCCTGCCCTGCCTGCCTGCCCTGCCTGCCTGCCTGCCTGCCTGCCCTGCCTGCCTGCCTGCCTGCCCTGCCTGCCCTGCCTGCCCTGCCTGCCTGCCCTGCCTGCCCTGCCTGCCTGCCTGCCCTGCCTGCCTGCCCTGCCTGCCCTGCCTGCCCTGCCTGCCCTGCCTGTCTGCCTGCCTGCCCTTCCTGCCTGCCCTGCCTGCCTGCCCTGCCTGCCTGCCTGCCTGCCTGCCCTGCCTGCCCTGCCTGCCTGCCCTGCCTGCCTGCCTGCCTGCCCTGCCTGCCCTGCCTGCCTGCCTGCCTGCCTGCCCTTCCTGCCTGCCCTGCCTGTCCTGCCTGCCTGCCTGCCCTGCCTGCCCTGCCTGTCTGCCTGCCTGCCCTTCCTGCCTGCCCTGCCTGCCCTGCCCTGCCTGCCCTGACTTTCTGCCCTGCCTGCCCTGCCTGCCTGCCCTGCCTGCCCTGCCTGCCCTGTCTGCCTGCCTGCCTGCCTGCCCTGCCTGTCTGCCTGCCTGCCCTGCCTGCCCTGCCTGCCCTGTCTGCCTGCCTGCCTGCCTGCCCTGCCTGCCCTGCCTGCCCTGCCTGTCTGCCTGCCTGCCCTGCCTGCCTGCCCTGCCTGCCCTGCCCTGCCTGCCCTGACTTTCTGCCCTGCCTGCCCTGCCTGCCTGCCCTGCCTGCCCTGCCTGCCCTGCCTGCCTGCCTGCCCTGCCTGTCTGTCTGCCTGCCCTGCCTGCCCTGCCTGCCCTGCCTGCCCTGCCTGCCTGCCTGCCTGCCCTGCCTGCCCTGCCTGTCCGGCGTGTTCCTTTCCCCTTCCTGTCCCTGTTCTCCCTCTGCTGCCCTTCCTCCTCCATGATGCCCACCAGGGCCCCTGCCATCCCCCAACTCCAGCCACACACAGCCTCTCACACTGCCGCTCCCCCCATCGCCCTGGGCCACCACCAATGACACCCAGAGTCCCTAGGCCCAGGCCTCACCCATCAGGTATTCCCAGAGAGGCATGGGTTGTTCACATCTGCTTCCTGGGCCCACCCTGTCCTCCAGCACCTGCCTCGTCAGAGGCTGTCAGCAATTTCTGAGCAAGAGGAAGCAGTCTAGCCTGCGCTCTGCCTGCGGCCACTCTCTTGGGCACCTCCTTTCTGTCCTGTCGGGTCCAGCGCTCCTGTCCCAGCTTTTCCTCCTGGGAGCTGCTGTTTTCCCCGGGACTGTACCCCTGCCCCTTAGTGTAGTCCAGGCAGGACCACTGCACATGCTCCATGTTCCGGATGTGTTTTCCTCATCCCTTACCCAAACAGGCACCCCAGAGCACGAGCCCAGGAAACAGACCCAGTACGAGACTTGTGCCCCAGCATGTGTAGCTTAGAGTTGAGGAGCCCAGGGCAGGCTGTGGACTAAGGCTACAGCAGGGCAGTCCTGTGCCTCCACAGGGGAAGATGGACCAGCCCTCGCAGCAGGGCGGCCATGGATAGTTGCGCTTGTCCTGCACACACATCATAAGGTACAGGTTGAGTTATCAGACACAGAAAGTCATTTACAAGAGAGCAATATTACATAAAGATATACCTTGGTTAAAGCCTACAAATTGTTGACTTTCAGAATCCCATTCCATATTTTGGGAGCATCATAGGTAGTCAAAACCACGGGACGAGAGACTGAGGAGGGACCCAGGTCTGAATGCTGAGTTTCTTCACGACCCAACTTCAGCCCCAGATATTTGCCTGCAGGAAAGCCAGCCTGTTTCCTGTTTTAAAGCACCCTTCAAAACTGGGACCAATCACCCGGCACACACAAGCCAATGCCTGGCCCCCCAAGTGGCGCCCCTTGACCCTGCTGCCCCTCCCTGTGGATTGCGTCTCTGTCCTTCCTCCAGTGGGGGCATGTCCCATCGCCCACTCATTCGTCCAGCACACCCTGGTGCTTGGCACGCAGAACACACATCAGCGGTTAGTCTGTCCCAGTCTATTAGCACAGGGCATTATTGCTGGGTTCAAATGCCAGACCGAACAGCACGAGCACCTCCCGCGGCTGCTAACAACCTCTCCAGTGCCTGCTCAGGTTATAATTTGGAGCTAGTTTTGGAAATCCTTTTGTGGAATCCAACTTCCACAGTGCATAATTTGAGCAGAGCCCCTAAACAGGGAGCTTTCAGGAAGGGAAGCAATCCCCTTCGAGGGGATGAGAAGGGTTTGGGTGGCCCGGGTCTACTCTGCCAACAACTTGGCTGACCCAGCTGCATCTGATGCTGACAACCGGGTTGCTTGTCCTTGTGCTGGGGAAGAGCATGGGGCTGTGACTCACCCAGGAGTCGCTGGAAGTCGGGTCTGCTTATCATAACTGCTGCGCAGCAGCATCCCCTCCCTTGCCTGGAGTGTAGGAGTTACTGCTTCCCCGTCTTCACCCCCTCCTGGCTCTTCTAATGGGCCTCGACACCTCTCTCTGTGTTCCAGCAACTCCCTTGTGCCCATGGCTAACTGGCACCTGACCATGACTGTACCTAGAGCCCCTCGCCTACAGGGGGTAAGAGGACAGGCAGGTTGCTCAGCCCCCTGGAGTCAGGGTACAGTGAGGGGGGCTTGCAGGGTGTCGATGATGACCAGAAGCGGAAGTGTCGGCTGTTCCCTCGCCCTCTACTGCAGGCAGGGTCCCTGTCACCCTCAGGAAAGACCCACTGCACTGACACCTGTGTTTTGCCGGACTCTTGAAGTTCAAGCAATGATGTGGCCTAGTCCTCATGAGACACCATGGCCCTCAGCCTGTGCTGTGAGAACGGACGGGTCACCAAAGCACTCCGCACACAGCAAGGGCCAACATGATGTTTACTGGTGGCCAACCCAGTCGGGGCCGTTAATCGATCAAGGGGTGGAGAGGTACAGCGGAGCAGTCTGATACTGTGATCCTGTGAA